GATCAGCCACAGTGGTAGTTGACTGAGGGTACTCAATGTGGTACAGATGAGAGCATGTGGTTATTCCAATGGAGATCAGCCACAGTGGTAGTTGAATGAGGGCACTCAATGTGGTACAGATGAGAGCATCTAGTTATTCCAATGTAGTAAAGGGGAAGCATCAGTGCTTGAAGCAGGAAAAGATGAAAACGAAGATGATCAAGATGATGGGATTGTCTGTGATGGTTGTCAAAGCACCAATGGAGACTCATTAGACTTATCATGCTATGTGATGGCTGCAACATCATGGTCCATGCTACATGTTATGGTGATCCCCTCATTCGGGGTATCCCAGGAGGTGACTGCTTCTGTGCTAGATGCTAGGCTTCTTTGTGTTCTAGTAAGTTAAAGCTAACAATGACTGTTGTTTCTGCCTTTGTCTAGTTAAGGGATGGGCGATGGGGTCATATCCTGTGTGCATTGCTTGTGTTGGTCTTCTTTAAGAACCCAAAGGAAGAGAGGGCATCAATTGTTCCTAGGTTCCTCGCAGAAGATGGGAAGAGGTCTGTTACATCTGCAACTGAGCAAACGGATGAGGTTCCTCTCTTCCTTTCAGGCTCTGAAGGGCAAATGGTGATGCTCTCACTGTTGTCATCAGTAGTCAAGCTTCCTTCCTTGAAGACAATGAGGTTCGGAAGTTGGGTATTGCGTTGTGTATCATTTCATATTGGGTATGGGTGTTAGAAGAAGTTGCAAGGATGAAGCTTGTTGACTTAGGGAGCTTGAGGTTGGGGTTGCAGTTGGTTGATGTGAACTATATCAGTACCATCAAAGGAAGAGAGGGCATCAATTGTTCTTAGGTTCCTTGCAGAAGATGGGAAGAGATCTGCTACATCTGGAAACTCAGCAAACGGATTTGCGATTGAATGCTTTGAGCCTAAGTGCTCGTTGGCCTTCTATGTAAGTTGTGCCTTGGAGGCTCTGAAGGATGAATGTGATGCTCCCACTGTCATCGGTAGTCAAGCTTCCGTCCTTGAAGGCGATTAGATTGGTAAGTTGGGTATTGTGTTGTGTATCAGTTCATATTGGCTATGGGTGTTAGAAGAAGTTGAAGAGGTGAAGCTCATTGACTTAGGGAGCTTGAGGTTGGGGTTGCAGTTGGTTGATGTGAACCATATTGGTACCATTGCTGATAAAAAACTATATTGGTACCATCAGCTACAGGGTGAATTGCTTAGAGACTGTTCTTAGAGAGAGATGAGAGACTGCATACTAGAAGGAGAGAGTCTAGAGCTTTTGTCCTCTTCTCTCCTTGCAATGATAATGGTGAAGCTCGAAGTTGCATTGATCTTCTTCATGGCAGCCATATGCAAGACCTTCAATGCTTGCGCTTCTCAAGTTCTCTCATTCTTCCCTTGTTTCCATCTACTTGATATAGCTCCATCGATTGATTTGTTGAGGCCTTTGTTGCTGCCAGACGATTTCAAGAACGGTTTGCTGGTATTGGGAGGAGAGAAGGAAAGTAAATTCTCGGGGATGGTTTGTTGTTGTTGTCAATGTTGCACAGATTAGCAAGCAACAAGTAGTGAATTCTGAACATTTAATGAAAGTTCTTTTGTAGCAAAGGGCTGGTGTTGGAGGAGGAATTGTCACTCAACTTACCACATACTCCCTGCAAATTGCCAATATCATCAACAAATAGAGTGTGATTCGAAGAAGAGTAGTAGGAAACAGTTAGTCCTAATACTACAAATTTTCTTCCTCTTCCATCCTTTGAAATATGCTCCCCAAGGAGTACAAAGGAATACAGGGAGGATGTTCATGAGGAATCTAGTCATTTACTCAAGGTTCCATGGTTCACCATTATAGAAATGGAACATACTTTGACATGTATGATACAAGTGGTCCTCAAAATATTACTCCACATGTTGGTCTTCCAAAAAGACACAGAGTGGGTGGACAGGCATGACAGGTTAGGTGGACCTATCATCCATATTCATGAGGGTTTGGCAAAAGTTTTAGTGCTGGTTGCCAACTTGATGCAACCCTCCCCCTTTATCCGAGCTTTGGACTGATAGCGTAAGACAAGCTCACACTGAAATGTTCATGACGGTTTGGCAAAGGTTAGGTGCACCTAGATTCACTCAAATGTTTTTTTTCTTGATCGATATAAATCCACTCAAATGTTCTATATGCCAAACAAGGAATTATCATTGAAGAGATGTTGTTCTGTGTTGCTTGTGAGAAGCTTGAACCAAGGGAAATCATCCCTTCCAAACAAGAACCACTTGGAATGTTTTTAAAATCGTGCAGTTCACAATTTGAATCGTACGATTTGAATCAAATTGGGGCCAAAACAAAAGTTCCACTTTTAGATCAAGGGGCAGAATTGCCATTTTAGTTATCATGTTCTTGTATTGATGATTTGACTTAAATTATTGAAACTTGGAAGACAAAACATTAGGAATTAGAATATTAGATAACCATTTAACTTTTTTTGTTGAGCCTTGGGGATGAACAGTGAAGACATGAACATGATGCCATGTAAAACTCATATTTATATAATTATATGATGATATCAAATAGCAATACAATTAAGGATATAGTTTTTATTGCTCAAAATTGAAGTTGAACTTGATCATACCCATGTCTTCTATTGAATTATGATTTATGAAAGTGGTGTAATTGTAAGGTTCACTACCAGTCTACTACTACAGTACTACTACCTATTTATCTTATGTCTATAGGCTAAAAATTAGTACAAAGTCATTCTTTTCCCTAATTTTTGAGGGGTTTAGGTATTTTTATAGTTTTTTGACAATTTTTAGAAAAATCAGAAAAAATCTTACAATTTATGATACAATTCACGATACGATTTGATTCAATCCTCTTTATGATTTACAATACAATTACGATTTTCAAAACATTTTGGAGTTGAAGCCAATGCTAGTTGGAAGAAATTTCTTTTTCAAAGTTGATGCAAATATCAGAAACTCTGCTGTAGTTGTTTCTGTTGAAGAAGAGATGCACAAACTTAAGTGGGCAACAATGTGGGGTGCCGACACTGTCATGGATCTCTCTACTGGTTGCCACATCCATGAGACCCACGAGTGGATCCTATATAACTCTGTTGTACCAGTAGGGACTGTTTTCATATATCAAGCACTTGAGAATGTGAATGGAATTATAGAAAATCTCAGCTGAGACATTTTCAGAGATGCCCAAATAGAACAAACAAAGCATGGTCTGGATTACTTTACAATCCATTCAGGGGTTCTTCTTCATTATGTCTCATTAACTGCAAAGTGCATGACAGGAATTGTTCCCTGTGGAGGATCTATTCATGCAAAGTGGTGCTTGGTGTATCATGAGGAGAATTTTGCTTATGAGCACTGGGATGATATCCTTGACATATTAGTCAATATGATGTGGCACTATCTATTGGCGATGGGCTGTGTTTGACTCATAAAAACTTTGACCTTAAGGGCAAGGTCAATTTCAAGGAGGGAATGTTACATGTCCATTAGTGGACCCCATGTATTACGGGTGTATTGAATAATGGGATATGCTTGAAGGTGGTTAATTGGCTGTGTAGGAGTAGGACAAGTGTTGGTAGTCCTAAGTGTGCGGGAAAAGTTTTTAGTACTCAAATAATGTGTGGAGTTTAATTTTGATTTTTTATTCTAGTTGTTGTATGTGACACAGATTTGGTGTTAATATGTGGTCGTAGGTCTCTTAATTGTTGGGGGTCAGTTGTGGGAGTCCTGTTTAAAGTAGAGTTTATCAATGAAAAGGTGTGAAGTTGTTTATCCTTAAGCCTAATTTTTGGAGGTTCTCTCGTCTTCAAGCAGATGAATTTGAAGTTATGTCCTATCTGGGAACACACAAGAAAATAGTTTCAATTTGCCAATCTCCTTTTCATTTTTATTTGGAATTTGGGAGTTCTCACTTTTGGATGCAGATGGACTCCCCCATGTGATGTAGAAAATCTATTTAAGGTTCCGCCCCTCCCCACCAAAGAAGAGAGGGAAGCTATTGTGGAGATACAGAAAGACTACGATTTTGTAGTATTTGAGAGAAAAGGAATGCAAGAATGTTTAAAGACAAGGTCCAATCTAAAGGAACTCTGACAAAGAAACTTCAGTTGGCACATTGCATAACAATTCTAATGATCTTTGCCCTTTTTTCAACAGATGACATCATTAGCCTTTGATAGGTTATGGCTTGTCTTCATTAGCCATAGGGATGCAACTTGTGCAGGCCCAACCTGAGGTTGGACTGACCCTGCCCACAACTTTACACAGGTTGGGCTTGGATTTTTGGTCCTCGGGTTTGGCCTGGGCCCAAAAAGTTCAGGCTTTTTAATTCTTCAGACTGGGCTTGGGCCTAGTCCTTACTCCTTAGGCAGCCTGAACATGGTGCAAGCTCAGCCCGACCTCATCTTAACCTGAGCCTCGCCCAATTTTATACATGTATGTATGCATGTATAGACACATATTTGCAGTTTGCATGCATACATGCGTAGATTCATAATTTTTTTAATAAACCATACATATATGCATACACACATATATATCACTAATTACAGCAAATTAAATTTTGATGGATGCAACTTGGTCAACTTGCCTATCAGGCATTGGTGACGTCATTAGGCATTATGCTATCTTTTTTTTTTTTTTTTTTTTCCTGAAGCTTTAGTTTATGAAGATTCTATGAAGGCTAATTACTAGCAGTATTTCATATGTTGAGGTGGTGAAAACTCTTAATTACAGAGTTTTAATGGCAGAAGAGGAATCGAGGGTAGTTGTGGGTTGGCTCAGAAATATCAATACTGGCTATTGGACATATAAACACAAGATGAGAGAAACACTACAGCTGGCTATGGAATCAAGAGTAGAATTTCTATAGACACAAAAAGCACCATGCTTAGCTGATGTGTTGGCTAGGCAGATGGTATACTAAAGTAATGTATATTGAGGGATTATCTCCCATGGGGGTTAAATGCGATAAGCAAGCAATGGTTGGAATTAGGGGTTAGATAGTTAGAACTAGCTTAACACTACAAACGTAAAAAAAATGTGATAATGGTTTTGAGTTAGTTTTAATTCGATGTTCTTATTGTCATATTTTGCCAAAGAGTGGAACAAATTTTGCATGTAATAGTTTATCAATGTTCGATGAAAAGTATCTTTTGTATTCCTTTTCTATAATTAAAACACTAATGTATTTTATTTCTTAAACTTCTTTGAAAGATATAGGATATGCAAGATTTTTAATTGGCCTCTGTCTGAAACATTTTAATTTTTCCTTTATTTTTGTGAAAGTGAATATAGAAGATTTTATTTAAAACCATCCAGCTAATCGGTGCCATTTTGAATATTCAGTCTCATTGTTCTTATGGTTCGATTATTTTCCCTCTTGGTTTTGCAGGTAGTTGATTTCTTGTCGGTCTATTTGATTTTCTACTTATACTGATATACTTACATTTGAAATAGAAGAGGAATGTGAAACTTGGTTGGAGTTGAAAATGCATATAAAGATTCATTATTCATTGGAGATCAAAATGATTTTTTATTGATAAAACAGATATGCATGCCACTGTCACATATACAGGATGTTTATCTGTATCATATTGGTGCAAATTGCAAAGTTCAAAAGAGAGCTTGGGGTTATTCTTTGATCTGCCAAATGATTTCCTAGCACTAATTGAAATTTCAGCATCTGTGTATTTCTGATGGAAAATTTAATAAAATTTACCATTGAATTGATTTTACTTGGATGTTCAAGCTTTCAGTATAAAGCCAATTTTGAGCATTGTAGCCAAGATGTGGAGATCATTATTGGGTTCTCATAAGGTAATGATGTTTGAAAGCTTTGGGGTGGGAATTTTGCATAAGATTTCTACACCTGTGTCGAAAGAGGCATTTGTATTTGGTCCATTCAACTTGAATACCCAGAAGAGATGGAAGAAGCCAGTAGTTTCTGCACGAACACGTTTAGAGGATAGAACAAGAGATCTCAGGCTTGACAAACTGACGAGACAACTTATGCGATTGAAAATAGTTCTTAAATTGCGAGAACTGATGTTAAAGCGAAGGGACCCTTATGTATCTGTTCAACGGCTCTCCAGGTGGAAGAATATTGTTGGACTAAATATAGAGATGGGCGTATTCCTTCGAAAATATCCTCACATTTTTGAGATGTTTACCCATCCTGTGAAGAGAAACCTCTGTTGCAAATTCACTCAAAAGATGGCCAATTTGATTGAGGAGGAAAATAACATTATCAAGGATTCTGAATTGATAGCTGTTCAACGTTTGAAAAAGCTCCTCATGATGTCGACTAATGGTACATTGCACATTCATGCTTTAAGGTTGATTAGGAGAGAATTAGGGTTGCCTGAGGATTTCCAGGATTCGATTCTTCTTAAGTACCCAGATGACTTCAGGTTAGTGGGCCTAGAGATAGTAGCATTGGTTTCAAGAGATGAAAATTTGGCTGTTGCTGAGGTGGAAAAGTGGAGAGAGAAAGAATACAGGGAAAAATGGTTGAGTGAGTTTGAAACTAGATATGCTTTCCAGATACATTTCCCAACTGGATTTAAGATTGAGAAAGGATTCAGGGAGAAATTGAAGAACTGGCAAAGGATCCCATACCTGAAGCCTTATGGGCAAAAGGAAGTTATTCGCATTCGTAGCTGTGGAGGGATTGAGCGCTTTGAGAAACGTGCTATTGGCATTCTTCATGAGTTTCTAAGCTTAACGATAGAGAAGATGGTTGATATTGAACGACTATCCCACTTCCGAAGGGATTTTAACATGGAAATCAATCTGCGAGAACTTCTTCTGAAACACCCTGGAATTTTCTACATATCTACAAAAGGAAACACACAGACTGTGTTTCTTAGAGAAGCATATGGTAAAGGGTGTCTATTTCATCCCAATCCTATATATACAGTTAGACGGAAAATGCTGGACCTCCTCTTACTAGGATGCCGAAGCACTAGGGAATTGCAACCGCAGAAAGGAATATTGGAAAGGCATAATGATATAGATTGTAATGAAGTAGTACAGTCACCAAGAGTTGGACACTGGGTTATACCCATCTTAGAGAGCTTTGACCATCAAAATCCTAATAAAAATCTCAGTGAAGTTAGTGATACTTCTGACGAGGAGCTAAATGAAAAGTATGGGAATCTCTGCAGTCAAGATGATGCATATGTGAAAGGGAAAGAGTAAGTCCAAGTATGATATCATTATAATCCACCACTCGGCAGTATGTGATCTGTGAGGAACTAGTGAAGTTGTGGTAAGTGATAAAGACTAGATTGCATACATCTTAATTAATCATTTTTTCATGTCAATAAATGAACTGAATCTGTTTGGACTCTTCTTTTTGTTGGTAACTCAATATGTTAGGACTTTCCAGTCCCATTGTAAATGTAAATTTGGCATTTATTTCTTGGGTTTAGCTTATGCTCAAAGTTTCATTTAGACAGAAATCTTACTACAAATCAAATCTACAATTTATTAGTCTTGTTTTTTGAATCTTTATATATGAAACAGGTATGAAATAAAAGAAAGACAAAAATATGGATAACTATAAAAGAGGAACTGCAGTATAAGCTTATAATAGTCTTGGTTTCGGATTTGCTGGGCTTGGTTGAGTTAAACTGAAGTTTATCTTGTTAAACTAAACAATTGGGTGAGAAGCTGAAATAGGTGCTTGCTTTCTTGAATTTGCATGTCTCTCTCCATCTTTAGATCTCTTCAATATCATATCCTTGTAATGGCAAAGCCTTGACAAAGCCCTTAATCACAAAAGAACAACACAGATTTTTTTCACCTTTTATACAGGGATCAAGACTGATCTCCTTGTATCGACAAATATTATTGCAGAAGGAGATGGCCAAGTTGTTATTTTCTTGGATGAATTCGTGACACACCTTGGGTGTATAGGCCTCTAGTCAGAGCAGGTATTAGCCTCTACTCTGACAAGTGCACTTGGTGCAAGCATTGAGACATACCATGAACAGCTCATTCCCCAGGGTTCTTAGGACTGTAAATGCTCTGGCGATGCCTTAGCAAAATCTGAAATAACCAGGGAAAGCCTTGAATGGGGAATTCCAAGGCTAGGTTGTCCAGCTTTGGCTGGTCTTGTACATTTCTCTTCTGCTATATATATATATATAATGATACGAGTTCAAGTTCTTCTCTTTCGCTAATTTTGATCTGTTTTTTACCTTTCTTTCTTTATTGTAGAACATTTTCCGAGATTAGTTGCTCTAACAGCTGCCAGGCTTTTGACAGATCAAATGGAACTTCTGTTGGAGATCACTCGGATGAACCAGCTTTGGAACTGGATAAGAATGAACTCTAAGACAACCAATGGCGGATGCTAATAAAAGACTTGCTACCAGAAACTGATAATCCATGTATTCTGCATCTGACTTGACAAGCCTAGAAGCCTAATGCCACAATTGAAGCGGATGTCAATCATGCCGCCTTAACTGCAAATAAATATTGTTGGTGCAGTTCACAGCAAGGAGTCCAACTTGACAACTGGAATATGGGTAGCGGTCACTTGTTTCCGTGTTTTGCATCCTCCAACTATGCGAATGTAGTAGTTCAAAGTGAATCCATCAATTTTCTTATTATCTGGTTCCCTAATATAAGGAGGTGAGATCAATTCTGCAGATTGAGAAGCCAATTTTAAAAAGGATGTTGTCTCAACTTGATTATAGTTAGGCAGGTTGTATAATCAAGGATACAATCTCGAAGATTGAATACGAGGAGATTCTAATGGCTGTTTGTGGCCTCATTTAGCATCCTGCTTTTGGATGCTTTTCCTGCTTACTATAAAATTAATAAAGTTTGCTCGAAATGCCTTGTTTCTTTCTTTGCATTCGTATTTCTAAAGAAAAATGCCAACTGGTTGAATGGGTGGCGAAGCGAAGTATGCCCTAAAGCATAGGTTTGTTGTATACTTATATGTTTTTGTCCTTTTTTTTGTCTGTTTTGTTTTCCATTGGTTATCTCATGAAAAGTGGTTCCAAGTTCCAATCCAATTGTTTTTCTGCAATTAGAGGATCATTTAATCAATCCAGAGTCGGTCAGTTTATTTGTAGATTATGTTTATGCCTGTAATCTTGTATATAAAAGGGGAGCTCAATAGGGTTGGATCAAATCGGATGTATCAAATTGAATTCCATCGGGTTTAGATTGGATTTGAATATCATTATCATTAAAAATTAAACTGAATGAATTTCGTTTTGTATATCATGAATAAAATGATTTGTGAGTAATTTTCATGATACTTAGAATAAAGCAAAAGTTTAGTAATGGAGATTAGAGACATGTTAATTTTATGTGAAAAACTGATAAAAAAGAAGCTTAGATTTAAGTGCAGTTCCGTATTCGATACATATCATAAACAGTGAATATGGGAAAGATATGGTATTGGAAGAGTTTTGATCAATCAAAATCCACCCATGAATTTTAATTGATAACATCCGATTATCACTTGTATGATTCCTCTTGATTGGTCAGAATTTGACCAAAAAAAGTTGATTGGTCATAAGGTTTTCTGATATCACATCTTTCTGGTATCATAGTGGAACCCATTAAATAGATTATAACATTTTGTGATTATGGATTTTAGTTTCATTTACTTATTTGTTTTCTGTTTGGGTTCAATTATGATATTGGAAAGACATGGTATCCAAAAAATTCGTGACCAATCAACTGTTATCAAAAACCTGGTAACCAATCAAGTGGTTTTTATCAAAATTCATGAGTGGGTTTTGATTGATTAAAACCATGTCTTTCCAGTATCACAGCTTATGAATTTTAATTGGGATTTAAAAGTTTAAAGATGTCTAGATTACAACTTGCTAAATTCCAACCTTTTTTTGTGCTCTAATGAACATTTTACATGCCAAACTGTCGAGATGTTGACACGGAGTGTATAAAAATTATCTGTAGTGTTTCGGGCCCTGTACAAGGCCCCTTTTCTTCAATTTTATTGCCTAATTGGAATTTTCTTCTCATTAATTTCCTTTAACCCTCTTTCTCATTAATTCGTTTCGTTAGTATAAAACTACAAACTTAGCAATAACAAGATTCGAACCTTAGCCAATTAGGCTTTAACTACTAGAGGTTCACCACTAAACCATGCCCATTTGCTTGCTATAGGTTTAAATTTTCTCTTTTTCTTAGTGTATGCTTATCAATAAATGTTAGAATTGATTATTAAAATTTATATATTAATAAATATTAAGATATATTATATTGATTATTTTAAAACTAATGTATATCAATATACATTTTAGTTTTTTTTTTGTTTTTTCACATTTTATTTATTTCATCATTTATCAATACTAAGTGTGTCCCAATATCTCGAGTTTTATATAGACCAGTAAATTACAGTTTTCTTTTACTTTTAAATAACTCATTTACAATCATATAAAACTTGTAACTCTCATTATTAATATATTTTTTTAGAATTTATTTGAGTTTTTTTAACATATTTATGTGTGTCATGTTTTTTCATCCATATCCATATGTATCCAAAGCATATCCCAATATATCTCTTAAAATTATTTTCCCGATATATATTACATCTCCGATACTTTAAACCTTGGTTTCTGTTACATCTCTAGCCAGATACTTGCTACTTATGGTTCCTGGAATACCATCTGGAACTCTCCCAATACATAACACCGAAAAAACTCACAAACTAATATGACCTTCACATTGTCACTTCCAAATTCCAAGGGGCTTTTTATAACAATTGGAGTTGCTAAACTGAAAAACTTATTGTTTTAAGCTGTTAAAATAATTAAATGATAAAATTTTAAAGGTATATTGTCACTTCCCCAACCAAGGTTAGGCATGAGACAATGCCACATGCTAGTACTTTACTTGCTTACAATCAAAATTCAAAATTTAAACAATAACCTTTAAATAAAAACAAATTGTAAACTAAATGTAAAATCACATAATTTCTAATAACTTGAGTTCCATCAAACGTCTAAGGCCTTAGTGATAACTCTTGTCTAAAAAAAAACATAATAAATCTAAAATCAAACTAATAAATACATTTGTACTAGCTCTCTCTCTCTCTCTCCCCCTCTCTTTAAAGTAATCCCATACAATACCTATTCTTCTTCGTCACCTCGAAAAAGAAGAGAACTGAAAATAATGAATACAATTATTAGTAAGTAATATTTCATCTCCCCAATTGGACCAAGCATGAAAAAAATAATGATACTAATAACAATAAATAATTCATAAAAGCCACATAATATTCACAAGATAAGTTTCAAACAACTTAATATATCCTACAGAACAATAATTACATACTAAAAAAAATATCAAACTTTTTAACAATTTACAGAATCATAACACATGCTGAAAAAAGTATTCAGATTCAAATTAAGAGTCACATAGCAAGTTAACAAGAGTAGACTACGACCACTTTCACCTCAGTGATAAGGGACCACATATATGCCCTGTGATGAGGGCCCAAATTCAAAATGGATTAGTCCAAGATACCATCATTTATCCCCAATGGAAAGGTCTAGAGCATAGTCATATATTAAACTATGACCACTTTAACCCCAGTGATAAGGGACCACATATATGCCCTATGGAATTTATTAGAATATAATAGATATATCAATCCACACATGAGTCTCATAAAGGAATTTATCGTAAGAATAACAACTTAAAAAAAAAGTCATTATTTTTTTTTAAGGAATAACAATGTGTCCAATGTTGGTGATTCACAATAATCAACAGAAAAAGATCATCTAGATTGTGTGTGTCTGTGTATACATAATTAACCAAGAATTTATTTGCTAATTTAATTGATAGTTGACAAAAAGCAAGAAAATAAAAGAAAAAGATATATAACCGGAAGATGAAAAGTCACTCAATACGTTGAGTCCAAAGTACCAATATAAGTGAGTCATGGTATATCCCAAAAGCCTATAAATAAATGAGTAATTGTTACAACTAATTTCAAAATTTATATTGCTAAAATTATGAAGTAAAACTTTCAACTTATTTTATTGGTCCACCTAAACCTCTAGTAGTTTACTAGTTTGGGTTCTAAGACTCCTAAATTTCTAATTTTTTGCTTAAGTTTTTATAGGATGACTAAATCTTGACACTTGTAACAGACACTCCAACCACCTAAAATGAGAATTTATTCTTCGAACATATCATTCCCACAATATATTACAGACTTACAGTTTAGAAAAAATTCCCATTCAGAACACACTACAAAATGATTATGCTAATTTGGGTTGTCAACTAACATTCCTAGAATTTCCAGATTTACTGTATTCATGAACCCAAATTTTAAGACTCAACTTCTAGATCAAAGATTTGTTTCACAAGTGTGATATACCGTCATGAAGGTCTCATAACTTACCACAATTTAAACCTTCCTCTCGGTTAGACCTGTTCATGGGCCGGGTGGCCCGACGGGCCGGCCCGGCCCGGCCCGGCCCGACCCCCGGACGGGCTTGGACATTTTTATAGGCCCGCGGGCTTAAATTCGGGCCAAAAAGCCCGGCCCGCAATAAATTCGAGCCGGGCTCGGGTTTTGTCAAAATAGCCCGGCCCGAGCCCGGCCCGACCCAACCTAATAT